CTCTGCCGAGGTATAAAGTACCCACAAGGAACTCCTTGTGTGGATTTTCAGACAATTCCGTTGAAAAATGTGGGTAAAATCATCAAAATACCGAATATCGGGGGGTACCGTTATATGGGGGCTATACGATATTGTGGACCTATATAGATAATTCTCTGCCGAGGTACAAAGTACCCACAAGGAACTCTTTGTGTGGATTTTCGGATAATTCCGTTGAAAAATGTGGGTAAAATCATCAAAATACCGAACATCGGGGGGTACCGTTATATGGGGGCTATACGATATCGTGGACCTATATGAACAATTCTCTGCCGAGGTATAAAGTACCCACAAGGAACTCCTTGTGTGGATTTTCAGACAATTCCGTTGAAAAATGTGGGTAAAATCATCAAAATACCGAATATCGGGGGGTACCGTTATATGGGGGCTATACGATATTGTGGACCTATATAGATAATTCTTTGCCGAGGTACAAAGTACCCACAAGGAACTCCTTGTGTGGATTTTCAGACAATTCCGTTGAAAAATGTGGGTAAAATCATCAAAATACCGAACATCGGGGGTTACCGTTATATGGGGGCTATACGATATTGTGGACCTACATAAATAATTCTCTGCCGAGGTATAAAGTACCCACAAGGAACTCCTTGTGTGGATTTTCAGACAATTCCGTTGAAAAATGTGGGTAAAATCATCAAAATACCGAATATTGGGAGGTACCGTTACATGGGGGCTATACGATATCGTAGACCTATATGGACAATTCTCTGCCGAGGAATAAAGTACCCACAAGGAACTCCTTGTGTGGATTTTCAGATAATTCCGTTAAAAATGTGGGTAAAATCAGCAAAATACCGAATATCGGGGGGTACCGTTATATGGGGGCTATACGATATTGTGGACCTATATAGATAATTCTCTGCCGAGGTATAAAGTTCCCACAAGGAACTCCTTGTGTGGATTTTCAGACAATTCCGTTGAAAAATGTGGGTAAAATCATCCAAATACCAAATATCGGGGGGTACCGTTATGTGGGGGCTATACGATATTGTGGACCTATATAAATAATTCTCTGCCGAGGTATAAATTACCCACAAGGAACTCCTTGTGTGGATTTTCAGATAATTCCGTTGAAAAATGTGGGTAAAATCATCAAAATACCGAATATCGGGGGGTACCGTTACATGGGGGCTATACGATATCGTGGACCTATATGAACAATTCTCTGCCGAGGTATAAAGTTCCCACAAGGAACTCCTTGTGTGGATTTTCAGACAATTCCGTTGAAAAATGTGGGTAAAATCATCCAAATACCAAATATCGGGGGGTACCGTTATGTGGGGGCTATACGATATTGTGGACCTATATAAATAATTCTCTGCCGAGGTATAAAGTACCCACAAGGAACTCCTTGTGTGGATTTTCAGACAATTCCGTTGACAAATGTGGGTAAAATCATCAAAATACCGAATATCTGGGGGTACCGTTATATGGGGGCTATACGATATCGTGGACCGATATAGCCCATCTTCGAACTTGACCTGCCTGCAGACAAAAGAAAGATCTGTGCAAAATTTTAGCTTCCTATCTTAATTCGTTTAGACTGTAGCGTGATTACAACAGACGGACAGATGGACAGACGGACGGACAGGGCTAAATCGTCTTAGAATTTTACGCTGATCAAGAATATATATACTTTGTTGGGTCTAAAATGATTATTTCGATGAGTTACAAACGGAATGACGAACTTAATATACCCTCCATACCTTTTTTGGTGGAGGGTATAAAAAATAATAATCCCTATCCTATGGTAATGGGTGTAAAAGAGTAATTATCTTTGACTATTCTGAAATCATTCTGCCCTTAATTATGAGGTGCACAAAACTAAATACCACGCAGCACGGTACTCTAAACGTTGGAAATACGAATTCCAAATTACAGCCCATTTGAATGGAATATGTTGCTAGGCTCCTTACAATGCCAAAAATTGTGCTGAGTTCTCACATAGGGCTATTATAAATTTTCTATATCATAACACTCAAATTAAAGCCTATGGCTGAAAAATAAGATCAGGTTATTCAAAATATCTAACACCGACGGTGGGTGAACATCTCTTATATTTATTTCTATTTAGAAATTACTGTGGAGTCATTACTCATTATAAAAATTGTGACTTATAGTCAGATCTGTGATTTATTGTGCTTCAAAAAATATGCATTAAAGACTAAAAGTACGGGCCGGCAAGGCGGACCGGGTCAGCTAGTTATTTATAAATAAGGTGAATAGTACTGGACCAAGATGGCTCCCCTGTGAAACTTTACAAGATAGTGGAATTGTATATGATTAGCGCTTTCAAATTTAACTATTTGAATTTGGCCTGTTAGGTATGAGTTTATCTACTTCAATAAAAAAGACTGAAACCAATTTTGTAACAATAATTTTAAATTGACTTTATCAAAAGCTTTGCTGAAGTCGGTGTATCTGCAATCCGTCTGATATTTTCTTTTAAACCCATAGAACGATATTTATGGAATAAATGTTGGTATTTCGATAAAATAGATGACACCTCAAATGAAAATAAGTCGGTGATTATTCCTTCAAACAATTTTGGAATACTATTTAGTTTAGCAATGCCTCTATAATTACAGGCCTCATTTCTATTTCCTGATTTGTAAAGGAGGGCAATATGCGACTCTTTCCACTTTGCTGGAACGTCACATGAGGTAAGAGATTTGTTAAATATAATGCATAGTAGGAGTGCTAAGTTATCCGCACAATGTTTCAAGATACAAGCCGGAATACCATCCGACCCAGGTGTAGTTACATTTTGTAGACTTTTGAGGTTATTTAGAACGACTGAAACATCAAGGTTTTTTTACATTTGTTGAGTTATACATAGAAGTAGTAAATGGATATTTAAATGAGATGTCATGTGTTTTACTACAGCATTTGCTTTTAAAGGAGGCAAATATATTTGCGACACCAATCCAACTTCAACATTTATTACTCCTCGTTGTAGGCTTTTAAATCTGATATAGCTTTGTCTATTTGGATTATACGAATAATTCCTTGTTTATTTCACAGACAAAGCAATGCCGTTGCCCTTAAATGTAAAACTGAAGAAATCACTTGGAGCTATACCAAAAATATTAACTTATTTAAGAAAACCAGTTGCATTTTAGTTAAAGTTACTCATAGTAATAGTTAACAGTATAGGTATTTCTCCCTAACTTCTTTGACCGTGTCAGAGTGTATACTATTCAGTCCTACTTGAAAGACCAGTTAATTTAGAGGCTCGCTGTTATACTTTTATACCTCTTTCTTTCTCTCGATCATAAAGGCCTTTTTATGTGTCTGGGAGAAGGCATGGCATCGACAGCGTTTTATTATGCTGTCGTTTCGGTATGATATTGCCTGCTCATGTAGATGATGATCAACAAGTGTCATTGTTGTTCTATGAACGCCGTTCTGACAGGTCTGAATATACAAGGTAGGGCAAAAGTAATCCTTCTATCAGAAAATGCTATAAATTTTACGATTGGGCACCAATGTCAGTTCTGTTTTGATAATTTTGTAGTAAACACATGCGAAATACACGTTAATAAACAATGTTACGCTACACTGCTCCAGAACGCGGAATATTGGTGACTATTTTATCACCACCAAGGAGAAGATGATTTTTATCAAAAATAATCATGAGTGATGATGCCCATTTCCATCTTAGCGGGTTATAAATTTACGCTTCTGGGGCATTGAAATTCGCGAGTAACCCGCGAAGAGCCAGAATTTTTTTCTTCTAAGACGGTTTCTGTGAATGGTGAGTGTGATGAGTTGGGATTGAAAAACATGTGGTTCCAACAGGAAGCTGCACAATCAATATGCTGAAGGATGCATTTCCCGGTCGCCTAATCTCCCGTTTTGCGATTTGCACTGACAAGCAAGATCGCCTGATTTGATCGCTCCAAACTCCCTTTGTGGGAGTTTTTGAGGTCGCGGATTTATGTCAACAAGCCTCAGACTCTTTCAGTTCTAAAAGACAATATCCGTCAAGAATGTGAGGACCTATCGCCGGAAGTTTTGGTCAAAGTGATGGAAAATTTAATAACAGCCAAAAAAAAACATCGTCACCTTGTACCATTTTAGGCACATTTTCCACGGTATATTTTCCAACTATGGTATTTAGAGTTAGTAATGGGTTCTGGCCCCGGTATCTGAACATTGTATATATGGTCCATGTTTTACTATAGCCGTCATATAATGGTACCTTTTCTAACGAATTTGTCTAACGTTCGGTATCTCTAGTTCGTAATGGGCCTAGCTTCGGTGGCAGAATATGTTTTAAATAGCTCCACGTTTTGCAATAGCCCCCATAAAACGGTACCTACCGATATTCGAATATTGAATCCGAATTACTTTTATTGATAAATGATTTTTTTACATTTGGTCACCAGAGACTACAAAACAAGCATCCAAAATTTTTTTTATCCCCTCCACCATACTATGGAGGGTATATTAACTTTGTCATTCCGTTTGTAACTCCTCGAAATACTCATGTCAGACCCAACAAAGTATATATATTCTTGATCAGCGTAAAATTTTATGTCGATTTAGCAATGTCCATCTGTCCGTCTGTTGTAATCACGCTATCTTCGAACGAATGGGGATAGAAGGCTAAAATTTTGCACACATGTTTATTTTTCCAGTAGGCAGATTAAGTTCGTAAACGGGCCATGTAGGTCTACGTTATCGTATAGCCCCCATATAACGTTACCTCCCGATATTCGGTATTTTGATGATTTTAGCGACATTAGTCACCGGAATTGTTTCAAATTTGGTATTTGAAGTTCGTAATGGATACTACAGCCTATGACAGATAATTGTCTATGCAGGTCCAGGTCTTCGTATAGGTCCCATATATCAGTACCTCCCTATATCCCTATTTTCACGAGTTTGAGTACAAAACCCACCGAAATTGTTTTAGATATCGTACACTGAGGGAAAAATCCCGTTGCGAAATCAAGCACGTATGTTGTCATTTTCGCAACGACCCGTTGTTATATTTTTCAACAACGGCTGTTGGTGAATTGTGCACGAACGTGCTCAAATTGACACCGAGACGTGGTCAACTTTCGGTACCAACAACAGCCGTGCTTAATTTGTCCACCGATGTGCTCAAAATGACAACTTTGCGTTTTTAATATTGGTAATTGCAGCCGATTACACACGAGTAAAAAATGACAACGGTGGTGCATGATTCACACACTGTCGTTGTCAATATGACACCGGTCGTGTATGAATTATGCACCACCACCTGCATAATGATGCACCACCGTTGTTACTTTGTACACCGACGTGCATGAATCGTACACGATCGTTGCCATTTTAGCAACTACCGTGTATGAATCATGCACCACCGTTGTCATTTTTTTTACTCGTGTGCAATCGGCTGCATATTTACCATTTTTTCCGTGTTATTGAAAGAGAAAGGACGCATTGTGCAAAAAATTTATTGAAAATGAATAATAATTCGCAAGATCCTCAAAATATCATTGGTGAGTTGTTAGAAATCGATGGCAATATTGTTGTGGTTCGCGATACAAACCATTGCAGCAGTCAAGATGCGGAAAACAATGAGGACGATTATATGTTAAGGGAGTTCTTAAAAGGAATAAATATGGAGTCGCTTTTTGAACAATTAAAAGGTAAGTAAATAAAAATGAATTTTTCAGTTAATCAGTGTAATTAACAAAGAATTTTCTTTTTTGTTCTTTTAGCATCACATGTAACATTTCGCAGCTTGCAGTACTTGAAAAAAGAAGATTTAAAGGAAGCAGTGCCACCATTGGGACTGCGTGTTGAATTCAGAGAAAAGCTCTTTGCTTGGAAAAAACGAAAGGTACGTATTATTTGTTTTACAGAGTTGAACTCAGTATTAATATTGTCATAACAATAGCTCGGGATTGATGACGAAACTATGTCAGTTCCATCTAAAATAGGTGAATGGTGGAAACGCAACGAGACACCTGCAAGTACTCCTGGTACTCCCGACACTACAGGTTCGAACTGCTCAAAAGCCAAAGGAATTTTGTCAGAGGTAAGGTAAGAGTAATATTTGTGTAAGCATAGTTAATGTAGTTTTTTTATTTAATATAGGATCTAACGGAATTGTTAACACATACCTCGAAGGGGAAACTAGCGCTTGAATGTAGTAGCGTTAATAAGAAATTAAGTGACGAGCAAAGAGATGATATAATTAATATAATTATTGAAGATATTTTAACCAACAATGTTACTCTTTACACTCAAGACTATATGCGCATATTGGATGAAATTTGTTCCGTTTTTCCTCTTGAAAACGAAATGAGGGTAAGATTAACAATATAAACAACGTATCTGATTATGTAGTTTCTTAACTTATAATATGTCTTTATTTTTAGGATTATTATTACATTTCAAGAAAAGGAAAGAACAACGCAAGCGGAAAACTTTATGCCAAGTATAGAAACAAGAAGTCCAAAAGAATAAAGCTTTTGATTTCCGAGCCTAGCACAAGCAAAGCAGCAACTCACACATCTCCTAATTTTTGTAACAAAGATGTTCCCGAAATTGATGAATCAGTTGAAAATTCATTGAAAGCTTCCTTACTAAGAGAATGTAATGATTGGGGATCGATCTGCGAAAAATGGAAAAGATCTTTTAACATACGGCAAAGAGATATAAAAAATTTAAGTAGCCATACATTTCTCCTTGAATGGACGAAGTTGTCCGATGCAAGAGCTTCAGAATTGGTAAGTAGCCATGAGCTATTTATTTGTATATGGATACTAATGTTTCGTTTTAGGTCAACATTGATTTCGATATTATGTATCCACAGAAAGGCAATCTTCTACTTTCTAAATGGGACCAATTTAAGAAAAAAATTTACAATTATTATGGGAAAAATATTCATAACGAACATTGCAAACAACTCTTCGCAAATGTTTTGACGGCAAGCAGCATAGGTAAATTTTAATTCCTGATTTATCATAAACATTAAAAGTAATATTTATTTTATATTTCGGTTGCAGATGCTCAAGATTATATATACGCAATACTGTTGAATTCAGTTTTACCATCACCTGCTAGGTTTAAATGTGGAAACGGTAAATTACGAAAAAAAGTAACAATAGCTGATTCGCAGGAAAGTTTCGTACTGCGACTACCGACAATTAACGATTATAAAAGGCAAATTGATACAGTCACTGAAAAGTATTACAATGCTGGATTAACTATACAGCCATTTATAATTGTGGAGGGTTTGTCCGATTTCAATATAAAAGGTTTTTATGTTTTTTTTAACCACAATTTGTTAAAATTTCAATCGTTCCTCGAATGTTTAGATACATGTTTTAAAATTTTTCATGCACTTTCTTTAAAATATCCAAATGCCTGCCAAATTCCATGGATTTTTATCCAAAAATATTTTTATGAAATTAATACTGTATATGATATAAAATCAGTTAATTTGACTTCACTTATTAATTTCTGCAACAATAATTAAAGTACAATTCAAAATGTATATTTGCTTTCGTTGCCGTAAGCATTTTGATAAGGCAAATCTTTTAATAGCTCATTTGAAAACAGACCATTTAATGTCCACTAAATTTTTAAAAGTACAATGCGTTCAGGACAACTGTAAGCAAACATTTACAAAATTTACAAAAACGTAAGCCAGTTTTAAATTACCAAAATTGCAAAGTGTCTGATGACATTTTTTTTAAGGGAACTAGGTATAAAAAAAACTATTATTTAGCAACAAATAATGCCGCAATTGAACTTTTCAAAATTAAACATTTAATAATTGAAAATGAAAATGTTTACATTTTATGTAACCAAGTAAAAGTTAAAAACTTTGATTATCATTTACAATCGTATGAAGTTGGTTCTCTGAATGAGGATACAATTTTTTTAATACCAATTTTAGATTTTATTACTTACCCATTTCACTTATATCCTATGAATAATGGAAAAGTTTATTTCAGATTTAAGTTAATTTAATTTGTTTCTATACATTGAATATATGTAATTCGAATTGTTTTGTTAAATCAAATATGTATTTATATTGAATTTATGTAATTGGTTTCGTTAAATAAAATACTTTTCAAAAAATTTCGTTTCTTCTACTAAGGGTATAAAATGGAAAAGGAACGGATATCAAAAAATGACCACCATTGATTTCAATCTGACAACGGGCGTTGACAATCCGACAACGGAGCGTTGACAATCTGACAACGAAGCGTTGACGATCTGACAACGAAGCGTTGACAATCTGACAACGGGGCGTGCTCGAAATGACCACGTATGTGCTCATTTCATGCACATCTGTTGTTGAAATCGTTGCCAAAATCTCGGTGTCAAAATGACAACGGCGTGCTCATTTTGACACCAAACGTGGTTGATACACTATCATACACGGATGTGGTCATTTCATACACGGATGTTGTCATTTTTTCTCTGGGTGTATTTAAAGTTCGTAATGGATGCTAAAGCCTGTGAAAAAAATTGTTTCGAATTTCAGATTCCCTTGTTTAAACTTTCGGATTCCCTTGTTTAAACTTACACAAGTACAGTTTGGTATTTTAAATAACTATTTAGAAACTTGCAAACTGCTCAGAGAAAATACTCATTACAAATCGTGTTACCAACTCATTATTTTAAACAGGGGAATTCCCTCGAAATAAGTATTTTTAGGTCTCTAAAAATCGTTTTAATTGGTAACTATTTACCGACTTCGGTCACTAAAAGTCGTTAGCTAAATACGTATTTATCGATTGTGCGCCCACAGTTGAAGTTTTGCATCTATTAACCAATTCATATCATGTTCGTACGTGCCCATAAAATTATTCAATTTGTCAATGCTTTGACCTGTTGCAACATTGAAACTCAATGTAGACCAAACCGTGCTTAACCTTCAATCAGTCCAATGATCCCGACAGTGTAATGTGCACACATAATGGTTGATAGGCCAATTAGTATTTTGACCATGGTCGAATACAAATAAAACCTACTACATGGAGTGACAACTTTTAATAAACCATTTAAAATCCGAACGTTTAGCCAGGCATTCAAACAACAAAACAATGCAAAACCAACAACAATAGCACCGCCAAAATGTACGTGTCCGCAGTTGTCAATATTTTGGCACGGCAGCAATTACCACGGCAGGGGGAGAGACTTGCGAAATGTGATTGCAATGAGCTTTGTAAAATATAATTCCACAATTCAGTCGTCTTCGAATTGCGTTTCTAAAAATGATATAAACAATTGAATAAATCTGCATATACGGTCACTGTAACCCACTTCTCTCCATAGCAAATTAGTTGTCTAAATTATGCAGTAATAACGCAATCCTAATGTACGTATATCTTCTCAAGTCTTTTTTACAAATATCACTCATACATAAATGTGTACATGTGTATGTAAATTGTAATCAAAATTGTTCCTTTATAATTACAAAAGAGTTTCAACTTGAAAGTTTTACATTTTAGTCCAATAGTATTCAAGCAATTTTCACAATTTCGGGAAATTGAGCATTTAAAACTTACAGCATATATGTCGAATGTTTTTTGTTGAAGCGACGATTAGAACACATCACAGTTTATTCCCCCAACAAACGTACCCTTATTTGCATTATAATTACAATATTTATTTGAACTCTGGTCCCTTAATTATGCTTGTCCCTGCTTCGGTCCGTTCATCTGTCTTCACAATTTGTTAAAAACAAAATACATTTGTTAAACACAAAAATACAAGTCTGGTCACTGTGGGATTTCCAAATGGGTTTGGATTATCAAAATAAGTGGTCTAGTGGCATTTTCGATTCTCTTTCGGAATATGGGCACCTTGACCATTTCCCACGGGGGGCTCAAAACCAATTTCTCGTGAGATTTGCCATATGAAATACAAGTCTGACCACTGTGGGATTTCCAGATGAATTTGGTTTATCAAAATAAGTGGTCTAGGTACATTTTTAATTATCTTTCCGAAAACCATCCTTGTCCATTTTCCCGCAGTGGACCCAAACCAACTTCTCCTGAGATTTGCCATATGAAATACAAGTCTGACCACTGTGGGATTTTCAGACAGGTTCGGTTTATCAAAATAAGTGGTCTAGAAGCATGGTCTTTACCACAAAGGTGCATCCCTCACCATTTTCCCACAGTGGGCCCAAACCAATTTCTGCTGAGATTGGTCATATGAAATATAAGTCGGGCCACTATTGGATTTCCAGATGGGGTTGGTTCATCGAAATAAGCGGTCTAGGAGCATTTTCGATACTTTTTCCAAAAATGGATACCACAAAGGCGCATCCTTGACCATTTTCCAATATTGAGCCCAAACCTATTTCTACTTGGAGTGACCAGGAGAAATGTCAGTGAGGCCACTGAAGAACTCCCCGAAGGGTCTGATTCCCCAAACATTTTTGTATTCGGAGATATCTGTAATTTCTAAACCACTCATATTTTTATTGTGTGCCATTTTGCAGGTATTATGTGCACAGTGTTGTGAATGTCAAATTTGATAATGGAACAACAATTTTTAATTATACATTTAAAAAAAAATCTTTCAATGTTCATCATTGTAACTTTTATTTGGTTTTTATAACAAGCATTTTTGAGTTATATTTCAATTTACTCTCACCAAAATGTAGTTAAGTTTAAATTTATCTCTGAGAAAAAAAACAGTGTTGGTTTTAAATTTATTTTCACGCAGATCTATATGAGTTCATTTATACTCTAAAAACCTGAATCGCTAAAATATTTATTGATTGCAAAATGGCCCAAAGAAATTGTGAAATTTGGGTTGAATTATATAAGGGCTATGTCTAAGCGGGATAGGGTTTATGTATATGTCTATGCTACTTTCAAAGTTTTCTATCCCAAATATTGGGACCTTTTTCTCTTTAAGCCATGTGACGGGCGGACAGACAGATAGACACAGTGTATTCTCGTAGAATTAACTTTATGTGTCCCTAATGAATATTCTAGGTATAATATTTTAATGTCATGAGGTGGATAAAAGTAAACAAACATGGTTTCTAAACGTTGCCAATTCAAAAATAAGGGATGTACGTATATAGTCATAGAATAAGTACCAACCATGTTGCTGGAAAATATGTTAGGTCCTTCAAAACATTTAAATCGGTGTTTATTTAGGTAAGTGTTTATTTCGATCCAGAAATAAAAACTATAGACAATGCTCAGCCACAGAAGGCAGAACGCGATACAAACTCTCAATACAAAATTTAGAACAATTCCGTGGAAAAATAGGGCTAAAATCATCAAAATAGCGATTATTGGGAGGTACCGTTGTGTGGGCGCTATGGGAAAGCCTACAATGCCAACCATCTAGACATAAATTCTAAGCACTACGTCAAGTAATGTGGATTTGAACAGACAGACGAACTTCTTTAAATCGCCTTAGAAATTTATGCTGATCATGAAAATGTATATACTTTATGGGATCTACGACGAATATTTAGAGGTGTTACAAACGGTGGATAAAATTAAATACCTTGCCGACCGTCTATTGCGAATTCGAAAATGAATGATAACCCATTCGATTTGAAACATTAACGTCTGGTATTTATTGCTGTTTAGAAATTCCAACCAATTCGGTGGCAGAAAACGCCAAAGTACTGAAAAATATGACCATAAGGAGACTTCTATTAAATAGATTAAAGGTACAATAAAATCAAGGTAGGTCTATGATACCATATGATTTTAATTTTTTCTTTTATTTTCTTGTCTTAGTATGTCAACTTTATTTGTGTATCCTTTTAATAATAAAAAATTGTTCAGAAAATATGCATCGACAAAATATACAGTTTTTTTGAAGCGAAATAAACCTTTCAAAATCAATGTAACAAGTTGTTTTGGAGGTTCTAGAGGTCTACCTGTTTGGTTTGTAATGTCAGAATTACTATCAAAACAAAAGCAACAAGTTTTTTTGTTTTTAAAAAACAACATTGATTTGAAAAAAAAATTAACAAAAAACGCGAAAATGTCTACATTTCTTTTCAAAACTATGGTCTATAATTCTCTAACGATTTATTTGGCTACAAAACATACGCTATTATACGCATTTTGACTACAACTGAATTAGAATGATTTCTCAACAATTTTCATGTGATTGAAAACAACACACATGTATGTACACACCCAAATTTGACGTGTTAAGCCAGGCAAATAAAAAATGTTGAGTTGATTGCAGCGTTCGAAAATAAACAGTACACTAACATAGTGTACTGTACCGGTACAGTATCACTAAAAAAAATTTTAGCGGTAGTGTACCGGTACACTACCACTAAAAAATATTTTAGTGATACTGTACCGGAACGCAACGATGATCGTAGTGTACCGCAGTCGGAGCGCTAAAAAATCGTAGTGTACCGCAGTCGGAACACTAAAAAATCGTAGTGTTCCGGAGTCGGAGCACTAAAAAACGTAGTGTTCCGCAATCGGAGCATTAAAAAATTGTAGTGTACCACATGCACCACATTAAAAAAATCGAAATCATAAAACTGATTTTAAACACTCAGCCATACTTTGTAAAATATTTAGTTTTTATACCTACATTCATTGATTTTTCGGTACCATAAAATAGCAGGTAAATTATTTGCATAATAACCCATTGCAACGCAACCACTAAAATGCCCCTTTCTACGAAAAATTAAAAATTTAAATTTTCAATGGTTAAATACAAATTATTATCACTTCAGATTTGGCCTTTTTTTATTCTTTCTGCCTGTTCCCATATTTTTGTACTTTCTTCAATTTCGCAACCAATCTAAACATATATGACAAATAAAATAAGTTCAGCTTTTATTTTCATAATATTGAATTGTATTAGTAATTTTTGCATTATCAAAAACATCAAACATCTAATTTTCTCACAAATCGTAAACAACACATATGTGGTACACTACCGGTACACTATTTTTTTAATGTTTCGCCATGTGGTACACTACGATTTTGTAGTGCTCCGACTGCGGAACACTACGATTTCGTAGTGCTCCGACTGCGGAACACTACGTTTTTTAGTGCTCCGACTGCGGTACAGTACGATTCTCGTTGTGCTCCGGTACAGTATCACTAAAATATTTTTTAAGGGTTGTGCTCCGGTACGGTACATTATCTTAGTGTACCACTCCACCTCGGAACGGTACAGAACACTACGGTACAGTACCATACTGTTTATTTTCGAACGCTGGTTGATTGGTAGCTGTACCATACCTTGATATCATTGTGCCATCCTAATTTATGTCAGTTACTTGAATCATATTCCATTTTCTTTCTAAACACCTAGGATCACTGCTACTTCGACTCTAAAGTCAGGGGTTAAAAACAAATTAATATTTAAATATAGAATACTTCAGGTTACTTCTACTGATTAAAAGTTAAATTATTTTAAATATTATGTGCCAAAAGAGCGAAGGATATGCAAACATTATCATTT